TATATATATATATAAATTGACCAGTAATATTGTCTATATATATATATATATATATATATATATATATATATATATATATATATATGAATAAAGACACAGAAGAAGACAATAGGAAAGTTTATCCTATCCGACGTGTTTTGTCTTCTGTGGGACTTTATCAAGTAAGAATTTTATTTTGTGACACGTATTTATATACAAGAGCCAAAATGTTATTGGTTTTTCAAAATTTTTCTTATAGCAGTGCTCATAAATATTTATCAGGTAAGTCAGATAACTTCCTGATCGTAAAGTGATACATTTCAATAACTAATAAACGAAAGTGTCTAGGAGTTTTTTTTTTTTTTTTGTTGGTTTTATTTTATGTATATATATATATATATATATATATATATATATATATATATATATATATATATATATATAAGTAAACTTGTCTTTAAATAGTGGGGCATTGGGCTTGATCTATACATTTATGTTTTGATTTACATCAAATTTCTCAGATGGAGAAATGCGTCAACTAGGATAATTTTTCCTATTCTCTTTATTCATATTGTTCTTTTACAGCTACCTTCCATCTGAAATTTTTCAGTTATCCTATACGTATATGGGTGTGTGTATTTGTGCGGAAATATATACAAACTGAACTTAATATTTATTGGCAATTATTTAACTATTAAATCTATGTTCGTTTGTTGTCTTATCACCTAAAGTTACAACTATTTTCAATAGCCAATGAAAAATATCCTCTCTTGAGGACAACAGCTTGTTACGGTCATAAATCCTTTATTAAAATTGCATTTATGTAAAACTTAAATATATCCGCAGAACGGTAACGCGAAACAAAATAAATATATCTAGTGTATAAGCAGCTTTGTCCTAATTTGTATGATATCGAATAATTACTGTTATTACAGTTACGAAGACAGTAGGGCTGACACAAAATGATTTAAGCCTGTTCTCTTTCTAGCTGAATAACTAAAAGAGTTTTTCAGTGATTCTTACGTCAAATGGTGCCAAGTTAGCTAAATATCTTATCTGAAAACCTGAAAAAAAGAAATTTAGCTTAAGTTTTTTTTTATATATATATTAAACATTTTGTGAAATGTACACGATTTGGACAATTTTGCAGTTACACCCGGTATATGTGTTGTATGCCTCCCCCCCCCGCCTCGCTCTGGGGATCCCTTTGTTGACGGGGTTGACCCATGATGTTGTCTCTTCTCAGATTGTCTTCTCTCGGCCGGATGTCGAAATTATCTTGGAGTCCTGAGATGAAAGAGAACTTCATTAAAAGGGATTTAAAATGTATCTATTTTATTAAACACGTCAACGTATTCATTTTTAAGTAGCCAGTGGAGTTGTTCTATCACCCCCACTGGGAAGCAAGTACCCTGAGACACGAAATGACCACGTCTACTGTATATGACGGGTAAAACATAACTGGCTGAAATCACTTTCTATTTATCTAACATTCACACGCTATTTTTATCCAATCAAAAACGACTTCCTTATTTAGTCTACCATCTGTCCTAAAAGGTCAGCTTCAGAAGGTCTGAGCCTAAATAAACTGTCACTAAAAAATAATAGTCTGAATCTATTAAACATATGGTACAATCAGAAATCTCTAAAGGATAATAGAAATAAACTAATAGTTTTTTTTGTCACAATTTTATTGCTTTTACTTTAAATAAGTGCGTTATTTTCCTCCCAGAAACAAAAAAGTCCAAAGTCAAAAATAAGCTTTGTCTTGTAAATTCACGTGTTTTCTGTGAGTACTTATAATGATTTTATTGTTCTCCATCAGATATGTTTACTGAAGTATTTACCATTTTATACTCAATACAGTTTTCTTAGATATAATATTATATTTCTATAATCCTCCTAAAGTGTATGATTCGTTCTTATCTGATGAGCTTTCCCACTATGCCCGACACTTCTTTCCTTCCTTTTAACAGCGTCTATCTTACTTTACCTACTTCCCTATATATTTGTTTCCTAATTGTTTAAATAGTTACGTATAATAAGAGATGTGTCTTAGATCAGAAATATTTCAAGGATTTATATTCTGTTACTTTAAAGCATTTAAATTGTAATGTACTCACAATTCTTCCATGTGACTAAAAGTGGGTTTTTCCGATGCGGTTTCAATTCAAAAATAAAACACTCTTTGAATCGGGAACTTATTTGTTCAAGTTAGGATTGAAAAAAGTACAGAAGTTTCTGACAAATCACCGAATGACGCAACATCAAGTCCTGTCAGTGGTCACTTTTCGGAGTTTTTCTTGTAGTACCAGATAAATAGGTACGACTGGATGTTTTTCAAAAGACTTTGATTTGTCCTTCCTCCGGTTTCTTTTTTTTGTATAATAATTTAAACAAGATTCTTTTTTTGTAAAATTGTTTGATATATAATCATGATGATATGAGTATTTGCTTTGTCAAGACGTATGTACGCACACATACCCTGCTTTTTTACCATGCGTCTTTTAGTATCTTTTTTATCAAAGTTTCTTGTCTGTCATTAACGATACGGCTTGAGACCCTCTTTTATAGATTAACCCAAAATTATTCCTTATACAATCCTATTTCGTGTCGTAATAAATTAAATTTACTAAATAATTATTTCATTAGCTTTAATATCTCATTTCATTTGTCGTCTTTTGTCGTTTAGCTCATTCTTTGATTTTAGCTTTTATTTAATTCTCCTTTCTCCGCCATTTTCTTTTTTGTGGGCAAAAGATTTATTTCGGGGATATTTTCTTTACTTCTCCGTTTTCTCATTCATTGACTTCATTTTTAAAACTTTGATTCTCCGTCGTACAGCAGCGTTCTCTTTACATTGTAATTTTAATTATTTTTTTCTCTTAAAATAATTATAATTATTATTCTCTTAAAATTATTATTTTTAATTATTATTCTCTTATAATTATTATAATCTTTTTTTCTGTTATAATTATTATGCTCTTAATATTATAATTATTTTCTCTTATAATTATTATAATTATTTTCTTTTATAATTATTTTTCTTTTATAATTTGCTGTTCTTACTGCATGTCGTTTTTCTCTTTCTCAACTTCTTTTTATGTATTTGACATGCAATTCCTTATCTTCTCTGATTTTTTTTTTTTTTAATTTGATTTGACCAAGTATTTTGCTTTCGGTCTTATTCGTTTGGCGTAGATGGTATTCTCTTCGTTTTTGGTTGATATAATTTCAGGTGTATCAACCTCTGTCTTGAAAAGCGCAGTTTCTTTGTTGATGGAGAGAATTTGATGTAGTTTTTAGAGTTCAAGTTCGGCCTCGTATATATCTTGATCCATACAGCCTATCAACATCTGATTTCGGGTGGGACATCCTGATTTGGTTAAGTATGTTTCTGGTCTTTGCGTCCAGTCTTTTAATGTCATTGATTTTCCATTTAGTAATAATTGAGCTATATTTACCTACGAGGATAGCTAAGGTGTTGAAAGCCTTCATTTTAGTGGACCCATTTACTTTGCTTTCTAATATCAAACTCTCCTATACTATTCTTTTCGGTTCTTTTTCTTCATAATTGAATGTTGTATACAATCTTCTTCATTAATTCCTAAGTATTTGTATATACAATCTTAGTCTAGTTCTTTAATCTTGTTGATATCAGTGTCTTAAATCATAGTTTTCGTTACTTAACCTCCTTTGAAGTTGATTTTGGCACATTTGATCATTCCGAACTCCATTCTATTGTCTTCGCTGGTTGTCAACCTTGAAAAAGAATATATATATATATAGAGAGAGAGAGAGTAGGTGATTCATTTTGCTATTCTCTGACTTGTATATGTAGCTACTTTCGTTCAGTAGGCAGCTGAGTGGAGTTAATACAAGGCAGAAGAGTATTAGTGACAATGAATTCATTTTCTTTTACTGAATTGGTCATTCCTTTGTTTCTATTTTGCGTTTCGTTTCTGTTTTCATTTATCCTCTTCTTAATTTCTTCATCAATTTTCTTTACATCTTCCCGAGTCCTGGGTCTGACGATAAACTACATCCGGTTGCATGACCTCTGATCGGGAGATTGGTGTTTTTGAGAAGTGTGAAACCACCTCTTAATGTTGTTTCCAACTCTTGCCTGATGCAGTGTGTTAGCATCTGGTAGTGTTCCAGCTATGGACAAATTGTGACCCCCCCCCAACAAAAACAAAAAAAAAACTATGAAAGTATAAAAATACATTTTCCTAGTGAAATACCAGCAATACATTTTTATATAAAAAATACCCAGGTACCTATTTATAGTAAAATTACCAACCTGCGAGAATGAACTCTTTCATGACATTAAGCTGTATAATATTCTACAATTTCTTAAAGAAAATCAAACTGTTTTCCAAAATATGACTTCAACAAAGCAGCATAAAACACACATACCACCGTCTCTAGTAATCATGTCCACAAAAACATGTAAATGAACACAAGTTGATTGTCATCTTGTTATATACTGAACACTAATGAGTAGGTCCCAATCCTCATAAATACTTTGGGCACCTTTTTGTAAGTGTGGGCAATATGCTGCTTAAGCTGTCAGCGTGGGAAGCTCTTGCTGTGTCGAACTCTCTGCTTTCGGGCAGAGAGGAACCCGTACGAGTCTATGACGAAGAACAGAATCTCGTCCGGGGAGATAGACAGATACCCCATCCAGCGTATGGGGGGTCTATTTCCTCCATATTAAATTTGGCCTTGTGCCGCATCCTACCTCGTGGCGGGGGGAGGCAGGTAAATATCGTAATAAGATGTCTAAGTACTCCGCCCATAGCAGTGGTTTAGTACTTGACGCCGCTGGCGAGTATTGTATTTTGTTGGTGTTATAAAGATTACCATTTCATTTCCAACCCCCGTTTTGCTTATTCCTCATTCAGTAACCATTTCTAGGTTACAACACCTCTACCATGAAACTAGTGTATCATGTTTTATTACTTCAAAGAGGCCAAGAAATATAAATTTCGATATTAAATGACCCATAGGGAGTTGATATGCCATTAAAGAAATCAAAATTAAAATTTATATCTTTCCTCTTCAATGCTAAACTTTCTCTTGGTGTCCCCTTCTTTCACTTAATTTCCGTTTTCTTTTTTTTTTTCTTTTTTCTTTCTTTTTCCTTTCTTTCTTTTTTCTTTCATTCATTTTTCTTTCTTTTCTTTCTTTCGTTCTTTCTTTCTTTTCTTTCTTTTTCTTTCTTTCTTTCTTTAATGCGTTTTCCTTCTCTTTTTGTATTTCGTAGCTCTCCGTACCTCTTTCTCACTTTCTATCCATGATTTATTTTCAGATTCTATTATTCTGTTTTGATTTTCATCGTTTTCGTTTCATTTCTTTTCTTCTTTCTTTCCAGAGATATAAAAAAAGACGAACGACTTTGGTTTATTTGACACTTTTCACTTTTTCTTTTCTTTCTTTCCTTCTTTCTATCATGTTTTTCTATCTCTTGACATTTTTTTCTCTTCTCACCTCCTTTTACTGATTTCCTTCTTTCTTTATTTCTTCTTTCTTTCTCTTTCTATTTTTATTTTCACTTTTTCTCTTCCCTTATTTCATTTACTTTCTGCCTCATTTCCATCTTTCTCTAAACTTTTTTTATTTCCTGGTTTCCTCCCTTGAATCTCTTTCTTTTTCTCTTCGCTTCTTTCTCTTCATTTCGTTCTTTCTCTAAAGCTATTTTTTCATTCGTTTGTTCAGTTTTTCTCTTCATTCATTCATTGATTTCCTTTTCATTCTTTTTTGCCTTATTCTTTTCTTTCTTTTCATTCATCCATTACTCTTTCATTGTATTTCCTTTTTTCTTTTCGGGATGTCTTTCTTTTTCGTTTCTATTCCTTCAACTTTATTTTTATTTCTTCCTTTCTTTCTTTTAACTTCATCTTATTTTGCACTTATTTTCTCAAAATGTTTTTCTTTTTCTTTTCATTTCCATATTCTGTCTCTAACCTTTTCCATTTGCTTTCTTTTAATTTCTTTATTTTCACTTATTTTATAGATTTTTCTTTCTCTTAATTTTTTTGTTGACTTACTGTGAATTTTTTGAATTCTGGGATTGAATTTCTAGGGATTCCTTTCGTGTTTCTCTTAATTTAGCATTCTCTTCAACTTCCTTTCTTTCTTGCTCTTCCTTTTTACTCTTTAAATCTTCCTTTCTTTTCTTAAAATATTTCATTCTTTCTCTAGACTTCTTCATGTGCTTTACTGTTTTTCTTTCAATCCCTTAACATCTGTCTTTCTTACAAAATTTGTTTTTCGTTGATGTCTTTCTCTTTATGTTTTTTAATCACCTAAATTCTATCTTTCTATTTAAGTATTTGTCATATAGGAAGAAAATGAGTAACTGCCGACACCAAGGTTCGAGCGTAAAACTCTGTACTTATAAAGATATGTTTTCTACCAAGTGTATAAATAGCGGTGTCAGGTTGTGGGGATAATTGACTAACTCCTTGTGAGATTTACTTCAGTATCGTTTTGTTTCAGACCAACCTGTCAAGAATGTTAGACTTTTTCGCCTGTCAAGAATATTAAACTTTTTCTTTTAAGAACTGTTAAATTTGTCGTTTTTTTATTTGATTAGATTAGTTTTAGATATCTTTATATGGAAACAAAAATCATGTTTTAATGTTATTGTCAAGTTACCATAAAGCTTTCCTGTTACCGTTTTTGTTTATAAAGAATTTCTGTCAAGCTTCAAAACATCTATGAATATGTATTTTTTTCTTCGAAAAAGAAAGTACAATTATATTTCATTCAATTATATATTCGCCATTATTTGTATAAACCTACTGTTAGTTACCTAGCTGCTCTTTTGTCATCTAGGAAGAAAATGAGTAATTACCGACACCGAGGTTCGAGCGTGACAATCTGGACTTATGAGTATATGTTTTCTACCATGTCTATAAATAGCGGTGTCAGGCTACTGAGTGTGAGGATAATTGACTAACACCTTGTGAGATTTGCTTTGTTTCAGACGCGCCTTACTTCGCCTGTCAAGAATATTAGACTTATTCTCTTAAGAACTGTTAAATTTGTCGTTTTTTATCTGATTAGATTTGCTTTAGATATCTATATATGTAAGCAAAAATCATCTGTTTCGCCATTGTTTGCAAAAACCTGCTGTTAGTTACCAAGATTCTCTTTTGTCATCTCGGAAGAAAATGAGTAATTACCAACACCGAGGTTTGAGTGTGACAATCTAGACTTAAGAATATATGTTTTCTGGCAGGTGTGTAAATAGCAGTGTCAGGTTACTGACTGAGATGATTATTGAGTGGAACTATCCAGTCGAATTAATGTGAATTATTGTGCGTCGATAATTTGGGGGTTGATTTAGGATTTACATAAAATGAGTAACTACCGACACCGTAGTTTGAGTGTGACACTTAGGACTTATGAATATATGTTTTCCGCCAGGTATTTAATTAGCGGTGTCAGGCTACTGACTGCAGTGATTATTGAGTGACTATTGAGGGGAAATATCCAGTTTAATTAGTGTGAATTATTGCGCGTCGATGATTTGGGTTTTGACTTAGGATTTACCGGATATTAAGCCGAGCTTCACTACTAACAAGGTATGCACTGAAATGGTTAATTATCTTTGCTTGACTTTTACTTCTTTCTTCTTGTTAAGTATTTATTTGTGGTTGTAATTAAATACTGTTTTATCTTAACATTGAAGTCTTGAGTTATGTTTAAGCATAAACGGCCACCGTAAGTCACAAAATTATGTATTTCCTGTTCTTCTTTTTCTTGAAATATCTTGATTTTTTTTCTTCATTACTTTTTTTATCTTTCTCATGAAGAGTTTCATTCTTTCTCTGCATTCTTTTCTTTATCATGTGTTTTTCTTCTCATCTTTTAACATTTTTCTATTCAAAATATCTATTTTCTTCTTCTTTTGTTCTCTCTTGAATTCTCCCTCGTCAAGTTCTTATTTTCTTTTAATGATTTATCAGATTTCTTTATCGTCAAGTAATATTTCCTTCTCTTATTTTCTTTTCTTTTGAAATGTCTTTCTCACTACTCTTGCTTCATTTCTTTCTTGATTTCATTCTCTTGACATCTTTCTTTCTTTTTATTCATTTCTTTCTTTAGTTTTCCTTTCTTCTTCTTGATTCCACTTAAGTTCTTCTTCTTCATTTTTCGTTCCTTTTTTTTCGTGAATTCATTCTCTTGAGTTTTTCTTTTACATTTTTTTACACTGGGTTTTCGCTGATTTTTTTTCGTTTATTTTTGCTTGAGTTTTTGTTTATTTTTCATTTTGTTGCATTTCAATCTCTCACTTTTTCAGTCTTCGCTTTTCTTTCATTTTGTTTGCTTCTTTCGTAATTTTCTTGTTACTTTTTTCTTTTGATATTAATTTTTTCCCTCCACATTTATTTTTCATTGGTCTCCTGCATTTCGTCTGTTTTACTCAAAGACTCTTTTCGTTGATTTTTCTTTTATTACATCATTTTTTCTTTTGTATCATGCAATGCAGAAAATAAGGTTAGATATTGCTGATTTACTTCTTAGACAATGTTTCTGCGATACACATAAGCACGAGTAAAGTTTAAAAAAATTTTCATAAACCAACTTATATATACGTCCATCATGTTGCCTTCTGTTTCGCTAATATTATCCCAGATGTTTGGTCTTTGAGTCTAGCGATCCAATTTCAAATTTCACTAACGCTTATAAACATTCATTTTTGTAAGAATCGTCCTTCACGAAAAGATGAATATAAGAAGAATAATCTCCATCAGTACTTCAGTTACCGTGTGACGCTGCGGTTGGAAGGACCTAATATGGAAAAAGAAATTTCTAGGACATTCCATCATATTGTTTAAATCCTTGTCCGATTTTGTTTGTATGCATACTAGTAAACAGAGCATTTTTAAGCCGTCTCCAGAAAGGTTTATAGGTTTGGAAATATATGAGGTTACATCATATAAAAGGCTGAATTAGATTAATTTATTGTAATTCTCAAGTCAATTAGGTTTTCAGGCTTCAGCCTGAAAGATGCACACGTATTTTTAAGGTCATTTTAGGAAAATGTGCGTCTTGTAAGCCAGAAAATCTGAATGCATAGCTATTGGTTATTGCACTGGATGGGAAGGAAATCGATAACGGTGAAGTAACATTGACGCTACAAAATGTCGTTAACTGACCTGGATGCTAGTTGTCGCATCCGGGATCTTTTTTGTCTACACATTTCGAAATGTAGTTTTACTGCAATTTCAGAGAATTTACATTCAGATTTGTCGGGGCCGTTGATCGAAATGTGGAAGTAAATACTTCTAAAATAAAGACCCATCCTTGTATTGTTCTCCTTTGAAACGGCGGCTTGCTTTTTAAGACAGTTTTTCTCCCCTCTTATAGATAATTTGTGCTGTCTATTCTTTTTAAATGTTTCAAATATCATATATTTATCTCTTTGGACCGACATCTTAACTTAAGAGTCATTTTACTTTATTTTCTTTCGTTTTCTATTCTTTTTTCCTTCGTTTTTTTTTGCCTAAGTGTTACATTCTTCCTACCCTGGATGCGAAACTGGTGGACCCCTTGTTCCATTCATAATAAGTTCCTGATGCAGAAAGGATCGGTTGATTCCCGTGCTCCGACCTTATTCCCGTTCGAAAATTGGTTCGTTCCCTCCCCACCCCCCGAATCGAATAATTGTTCCCCGTTTTTGCAGGGTGGACGCCCAAAAAGACCAGGAGGTTTGCGTCTAGATTTTTGGAGATCTCACAACTTCTCAAATGCGGTGCGGCCGTTCCTGAAAGTCAAGAGTCATTTGGATTCACATTTTCAAAGATAAGTTGGTTTTATCCTATTTGAAGAAACTGAAATCCCTTTTTTCCCCACCCTGTATAAAACTAACCCATCCGGACCCAAGAATGAAGAATAACGTCAGAGGGCGGGGAGCCTAGGACATTCCATCAGGGTCCTTCGTGATGCATTTCCGAGAGTTGATCGCATTTTTCAGGCTTGAAAGATGTCAATCTAGATCTGATCGACGAGGGATTTGGTCTCGTTGTTCGATAGATGTCGCCGCGATCGAAGAGACCCAGGGCGATGTGCGTGTGCTGTCTATTCAGGATATGTGGACCGACATACCAGATTTATTTGGACGACAGGCTGGATGCGAAGGTGGACTTTGTTCATGTTGATGCAGGTGGTTAGCTACCTTGATAAAATTGGTTCGTTCCGAATCGTTGCCGTTTATTGTCCCAATGACCAGGAGGTTTGCGTCTAGTTTTTCAGCTAGTCGGGCCGTTCCTTGTGGAAACGCGTTTTTAATGGAGGACTGAAATGCCCGGATGGCGGGTAGCCAGAGGGATGAGAGATGATCGCAGGGTTGATCCATCGACGATTTGGTCTCGTCGATAGATACTCGATCACCTCGGAGAAGTTCAATATCTACTTCTACCCACTGGACAGGTTTCAGTTTCAGGACAGGTAGGATGGCCAGGAAATAGGCTACTAGTTCAATATGTAACTGGACAGGTAGGATTTCAACAGCTAAGTAGCGGGAACTAATGGGGACGGTTATCGGGAATAGGTGGTGAAAGAGGCTTAAGAATAGGATTAGGTCCTTCAAGACCGAGTTGAGCAAACGGCTCGGACGAGATAGAGCTAAGAAGGTGAAGGCTCTTAAGGATAGTTTTTTTCCGGGCTGTGGCTGGGTGGATCCCCTAGATGAAGGCCCTGGAGCGTTTGTCTAGCGAGCGCCACATGGGCCAGGTAATTAGACATAAGTTAAGTAAGATGCCTTCCGAAGCTGTGAATTTGGGCACAGAATTGCGCAAGGAACAGATCCCTCGAGATTCCGATCGTTACATTCGTGAAGTCAAAACCCCGGAGGGGCATACTCTTCGTGCCACTGACGACATGTGCGAGGCGTTTCGGTTGTATATCGAGAACCGTTTTACCAAGGAGCCTGGTCTCTGTAACGATGAGTTTCGTAAAAATTTGGCTTGGAAGGGGGTCGATCTTCCGGAGTCATTTGGTTGGACGGACGGATCTGTCCGCATTCTCAAAGTGTGGTTTGGAGCCGACCTCCATATGGAGAAAAATTGGTCAGAAGTACAGACAAGGGTCGAAGCGACCGGTCAGACTTGGTGTCGACGGAGGTTGTCCGTGAAGGGCAGGGTGGATGCGTGTGCCACTTACGTTTTTCCTCTTGTCCTTTATCGCTTGTCTGTACTTCCTCTCTGTAAAGATCATAAGAAGCCGTTCGAGCACTCGCTATCCTCCATTTTATGGAGGGGACGCAAGAATCAGGTCGACACAACGTCCGTATCATAAGGGGCTGGGAATGCCACACTTAGCAAGACACAAGCTCGCCTCGAGGCTGTCTTTCCTACGCCGCTCATTGACAGGAGATTCAATTATGGCGGGGATTGTAAGAAACGCCTTCCCTTTCCTTACTATCATCCCCCCATCTCGCAGATTGAGCGCCGTCGTAAACCCCGGGATCAATCGGCTTTCCGTCGCGAATGTCGATATGCCTTGACAATCATTTCTCGGTCCAGTGACCTTTCTCGGCCAGGAAGGGCTTCTATCGTCAACTAGTGAAGTGGGTCGCGAAAGATCCTCTAGATGAGCGGCTCGACTTGTCGGAGAATGAGTTCCGCTCTTTATGGTTTTGGGCGCCAGCGGCGGATTACCTGAGTAACACTGAGTTTTCGCTGACCTGCCAACTGGTTCGGAATAGGAATCTCTCATATGGGGCTTGGCGGATGTGCAAGACTGTGAACGATGTGACCCTGGCCTAGAAGAAAAGGCTTCGAACGCCTTTTACCACTGACCTCGGGTCCCTCCCATACGGGACCATGTCGGCAAGTTGACGGCTCGTATCGCTCCCGAAAAGTCGTGCTCATTGATCACGCATACGCGTGTGACAATATGTGCCCCCCCCCCGCCATCACCATATTCTGGGGTGAAACGGATGGTGTTTTTAATGCTGCTGGCCACGGCCTGAATGGTGATTTGGATGACGCGACAGGAGGAAGTCTTTCCAGGCAACCGTCTTTCTCATCCGGATCTGATCCGTTTCTTTGAGCCTCAGCTCAAGATGAAGATTAGAACTGATAGAAAACGCTCGCATTCGGCAGACTTTAGCGAAAATGTGGTGACCGAGGCGAGCTTGGTTCGTATGAACGAGGCTAGCCTTGATTTTCTCTTTTAGGTCAACCTATGTCTCATCGGGATGGTTTCCTGTGGAGCCCTCCCCTGGTTTGTGTACCTAGTAAATGTGAGTAAGTGTTGTTCTAGGCCTGCTCACGGCTACATATCTTGTTATGATCAAAGTTGAGATTCCCAACCTCCCCAGTTTGTTTTTGGCCCCCATTCATCTCGACTGGGCCAGCTTTATATATTTTCCATATCTGTATATATTTTATCCTTTCACTCTCCCTTAGCGAGAGACCCTCTTGATTTTAACCAATGGGTAGAATACAGCGGCCTCTTTTTTTTTGAAGTTTGGACGGGTCCTACTAACATCAGTTATGTTTATTTTGTTTATTTTTGGGGTTTTTGTTTTTCGATATTTTGTTTGTTTTGGGGTTCATCCCCTCCACTCTCGTTGTCAATCATTAGATTTTTAGCTATGAAATATTTATTATCATCAATTTTTTATGTCGCGAGGTTGCGTTTTGTAGGTCACCCTGAGAGGTACGGCATTATGGTGCATGGTGGATTCATTGGTGATACATGAGTTTTTATGATAAATGCGCAAATTATAATGAATGAATTGCTCGTGAATCGGATTAGGAAGGTATATGATAGTTAGCGACCAGCCTCAACCCCTTCCCCCTTTTCCGCCTTGTGCCATAATAAATATAAATACTATTGTAGTGACTAGTTTAGCTAAATATTGTATACTATTATCACGACTGATTCTGTCGAGGTAAGCGTTGTGTCTTGCCAGGCCCCACATCGCAACACTTGACGACGAGGGTGATTCACTACTTATTATAATAGTGGTGGACAAAGATTCGGGTTTTTTTTCAACATGTATATCGAAATTCAGTACGTCGAATACAATAATGACGCCAAATAACCAGGTCATTAAAACATCTGAAATATACATTGGAAGCAAATTTTCAAGTGAAACAATTAAAAATAGAGGATTTGAAACCAGTAATGTTGAAATTAATTAAAAGAACAACAACAAGAACAGCAACAACAATTTCTCCAGGAAACTTTGTTGAGACAAAAAGAAAAACAGCAAAAAGAATTTTTAAAAGTAAAATTAGCGAAAACACGTCTACTTTTTACTCACATGACACAGTATTAAATGCAATTGTCAAATTTAAATATAACCCCGATAAAGAGGTTACATTTGCGTCATACTACAGATGCTGTGAGGAAATCATTTAAAAAGATTTTATAAGTTGATTGGACGAGAAAAATGCGCGCCTCTTACTAAGAAAGGGGCCATCGAACACGAAAAATACGTGAATTACATCCTGCCGAAAAAAATCGAGTGAATTGTCGCTTGAAGAAACTATTATGTCATTAAGTAGAACTTTCAATGAACGAAGTTTATTGTTCAGTACGCGTTGGCAATGCTTAAGTGTTGTAAAAAAAAAAACGAAAATGAAGTTTATACCACTTATGCTCGTATCGTAAATAGGGAATGTGAAAAGATCAAGTTAAGCGAACTAACACCCGATATGTTTAAATGCTTGATCTTCGTACAAAGGGTTGACAGTAAATAGGGGTGCGGAAATCCGTTCTAGAATTTTGACTAAACTTGAAAAGAACTCCAAATTGATTTTGCAAGCAAAGTTAAATGGCGGAAAGTACTTTTCAAAGTTGGACTTGTCAGGCGCATATTGTTGACGAAGAACTTTCAAAACTGTTAACAGTCAATAGCCACAAGGGATTAAACAATTAAACCTTTCGGAATTTAGGTAGACCCTGGAATTTTTCAGCGATTAATGGACACAAATTTGCACGATCTAAACTTTGCGATCGCCTACTTAGATGATATTTAAAAAAAAAACAGAAAATCAAGAGCAGAATATTCAGCCCGCAAATGAGATATTCTGTTAAATAAACGAATACGAGTTTAAATTGAGTGACGAAAAATAAATATTCGTGACAAATCATCGATGAAAACTGTAGGAAACCAGATCCAATCAGAGTAAATGCGATTAAAAATAGGCCCTCCCTAACAAATTATTTCATCTTTACTAGCATTTTTAGGTTTCGCAAATTATTTTAATGTTTTCATTCCGAACATGATTTTTTTTGTGGGTACCATTAACTTACTAAAAAAGATTCCAAGTAGAACTAGACTGCCAAATGTCAAATAGTATTCGAAAAATGAAAAAGACTCTAACGTCAGACTTGATTCTTTAGTATTTTGATCCAAAATTAGAAATAATCATAGCGAGTGACGGAAGTAACTACGGTATCGATGGCGTAGTTTTGCATATACGCAAAGATGGTTCTGTAAAAGAGATAGAACATAAGGTAAGAAGACTTTTATCGGCTGAGAAGAATTAGAACCAAATAGAGAAAGACGCGTTGGTAATAATTTTACTGTGAATTAATTTCACAAATTCATAGACGGAGGAAGGTTCACCCTACAGACGGCCCACCGTCAATTGTTAACTATTTTAGAGTCTAAAAAGGGTATCTCGACACCTACAGCGAGTCGACTAGAGCGATGAAGGATACTTCTGTTGAATTAAGATTTTAAAATGGAATTCCTGCCATCACAAAAGCGGATGGTTGGTTAGGACTCATACCTAAATTAAGGGAAACTTTAGAAGTTACGGTAATTGCAGCGCTAAGAGCTGAGAATGAAATTAAAAATCTTCTCTACAATACTGTAAGGGATCTAACAGTGACACTGGATGAAATTAAATTAAAAGCCCAAGTGGATACTTTTATTAGAGAGAAAAAAAGGAAATAAGATGGAAATTGAAGAAGAAAAATAAAATTAAATCAAAAACTGAGGGTGACAATATTTTCTCAATCGGCGGTGAGGTTTTAGTGTCTAGTGAAAGAGTGGTAATCCCTTCATCTCTTCAGAAAAGGTTATCTGAAATAATTTTATTCAGGTCATCCAGGTATCTTTAGAATGAAATCCATCATGCGCAGCTATGGGTACTGGCCTAATATGGACAAAGACATAGATTGATTGGTAAAAGTGTGTAAATCACCAGCAATTAAATTCCACCCTTAGCCGTTGTCGAGATTACACATCGATTTTGTCCGACCGATAAAGGGTGCCTACTACCTAATCGTTGTCGACAGTTTTTCAAATGGCCAAAAATTGTTTAATCGACCTCACCCCAAGCAAGGCAGCACAGCTACTAGCACGCAATGGGTTGCAGGATATGGAGGAATTACAAACAGAAACATTAGTAATGGGGTTGGGTACCTCGGCGTGGTGTAATTGTTAGCAAGCTTGTCTTGCTAAAACAGTTATGACTAAATAGTGAGTTCAATCCTCACCGTACTTTCGGACTTGTGCCACATCTAAGCTACGCTTAGACAATCAACATTAGTAATGAGGTGAAAGAAAAGAGCAATCAGGAGGACAGTAGATAGTGATTGGCATTGCATTTAAATTTTTGCAGATTAATGTTAGTTGGAAAGCATGGAACAGGGAGGGAGTTCCACAAGAGAGAATTGCGGGATAAGAAACAGTTAGCATAGAAGTAACGTCTACATCTCTTTACGACCGAAATGTTATGATGGTAAAAACAAAGATGAGGATAGTAGACCGTATATAAACAGAGTAATTAATTCTCGGACGTGTCCGGTTACAAATATTTGACTGGCTCCTTATCCCAGTAACAACATGCTATTATCACTTGAGTCGAAATTACAAAAAGCGGTGCAATATATGCAGCAACGGAAAACCGCCATCTTGAAATTAGATTTTATCTTAACATACGACATTCTTTCCATAGTTTCTTTTATAAATCGTTGAATATTTGTTTTAAAAAAATATTTTATAGCATTTTTTTGTAAAAATGATTCAATATTTCCTCTTAAATTTTCCCCTTTCAAAGTAATATTAAATATTAAGTTTGTTTTCTCAAAGGTTTCAGGAATGTTTTCAAGAATTATATTAAAATATGTTGGGTTTTAGGCAAATTTTTTAAATTAATGTATACTTACATAAAGTTATCTATCTCCTAAGAGATACGATATTATGTGTGCCAAGATGATTATATCTATTTGTCGATCGATAGATCGATGTATCCCAGTTTGTTTTTATTTATGGTGATCGGGCTATTTTCATACATATTTCAGTCGGTTCCTATCTATCTATCTATCTATCTATCTATCTATCTATCTATCTATCTATCTATCAGTCTGTTCATTTTCTATCATTTTATCTATCTCATTCTGTTTGTATCTATCAGTTTGCTCTTAAGTATCTTAATGCGTGTATATGATTGCATATATATATATATATATATATATATATATATATATATATATATATAAATATATATATATATATATATACAGAATTGAATAGACACCAAGATAAATTTTATTTCTGATCTTTTAATAACCAAGATAAATTAACTTAGATTATTTGATTAAAATTGCAGATAATAATACTGGAATATGCCACGAACCAAAGGAGCCTCAGACCTATCCGAATTTCAGCGAGGACGTATCGTGGGCCAACATGAAGGTGGTCTTAGTCAAAGAAAAATATCTGAAAATCTTTCAATACCCCTTTCTACTGTTAATAGAGTGATCGTACAATTCACCAGAGATTCGCATTGCAAGGCCTCTGACATAGCAACACAAGTTGATGTCAGTCCCAGAACAGCTGTCAGGTATCTTCACAAGCTGGGCTACTATGGCAGAGCTACGAGAACGAAACCACTTCTCCGTCCAGCCAATATCAAACGCAGAAAGGATTGGGCTCATGAGATGGTGGAGAGACCTGTGACCTTTTGGACCACTGTCATTTTCTCTGATGAGTCAAGATTCGCATTATTTTCCGACAGTGGAAGTGTATGGGTATGGAGAGTCTGTAGTCAAGAGTTTGATTTGAAAAGACTGAAGCCAACGGTAAAACATGGGGGCCTTTTATTAATGGTATGGGGTGCAATTTGGAGTGATGGTCTCTCAGAGCTTGTGGAGTGTGAAGGAGACATTAATTCAACCAAATATGTTTCTATATTAAAGAAAGGGCTCCTTCCAATATTCTCAAGTAGTAGAATGAGCAAAATTGACTCCCTATTTATAGAAGATGGAGCTCCATGTCACACTGCTCAAGGAACACAACATTGGTTGAGACAAAATGGGATCAATAAACTTTCATGGCCAAGTCAGTCCCCAGATATTAACCCTATTGAACACCTTTGGGGCATATTAGATTGAAAACTCCGCAAAAAGAACAGGAAGCCATCTTCTAAGCCCGAACTTTTAGGATTCTTGCGTCAAACATGGCAAGAAATCCCTCAAGATGATATTCGTGAACTCATTGCTAGCATGCCTAGAAGGGTCCTTGCATTAAAAAAAGCAAAAGGGATGTCAACCAAGTATTAGTTATTAAATTTATGACCATTTATAATTACTTCATTTGTATAAATTACTTGTTTAATAAAATAAACTGTTCCTGTGAGCGTCTATTCAATTCTGTCATGTCTGTATATATATATATATATATATATATATATATATTCATCCCTACTTTTTATGATGTAACCCTAAGCAAAGCAATAAAGCTACTAAGACGCAAGAGGTTACGGACTGTAAGAGAATAAGAGGGAAAAACACTATTAAGGAAATGTAACAATAAAAGAAGAAAGATTAAAAAGTCAGAGGGCATTGACTTTAAAATGTGTAAGATCAAATTTGACCTGAAAGCAAGAAACCGGAAAAGATTTTCACAAGCGTGAAGTACGAGACAAAAACTCTTGTTATACTCTCTGTCTCATTTTTCGATCTCTTTTTTGGTTTAGTCTATCTATCTATCTATCTATCTATCTATCTATCTATCTATCTATCTATCTCAGTTTTATCATATCTATCTAGTAATCTACGTCATTGTGTTCATACGTATCTACCTACTTATCTATGTATCTATGTCCATCTTTCTCTTAATGACTTTCATTCATCAACTCATTTGTTTGAGTTCATCTGAAATGGAAAAACCATGGCGAAATTAATTTAACGAAAGTAAAGGTTAATATAAAGGAAGAAAGACACTGTTAATTTTAAAACAAAATAAATTAGATGAAGATTTATATGCCTATATATAAAAGAGAAGCGTAATTATTTTCAATTAGATTTGTCTGCTCCGTAATCGGTCAGAAGTTCACTATATCTCTTTGACATTCCTGCCTTTTTAATATCGCCATTTATTTTGCCGATAAAATAATTACCCACGTTTTTCCATCAGTGATTCGACCTTTCTAATGATTTTCCGTTTCGTGTCGTCTTTTCGTGTTGCTTTCTCTTTCCATATCTATCTATCTATCTATCTATCTATCTATCTATCTATCTCCGTCTTTTTATATCTATCTATCTATCTATTTATGTCCGTCTTTTTATATCTATCTATGTCCGTCTTTTTATTTCTATCTAACTATCTATCTATCTATCTATCTATCTATCTATCTATCTATCTATCTATCTGTCTCCGTCTGTCCATATGTATCTCCGTATTTTCATATCTATCTCCGTCTTTTCATATCTATCTATCTATCTATCTATCTATCTATCTATCTATCTATCTATCTATCTATCTATCTCAGTCTGTTCATATCTATCTCCGTCTTTTCATATCTATCTATCTATCTCCGTTGTTTCATATCTACCTAGCTAGCTACCCTTCTAGCTAGCTATCTCCGTCTGTTCATACCTATCTCCATATTTTTTATATCTATCTCCGCCGTTTCATATCTATCTATCTATCTATCTATCTATCTATCTATCTATCTATCTATCTATCTATGTTCATTATCTAATTACCTATCTACAGCATGAAATCAAACAGGGAATGGATTTTTTCTAACAATTCCGCCTACAAGCAGGACTCTACCAAGCTTCAAGAACTATTGTTGGATACTTTCCACCGCCCCTCTGCTTATTGCTCATATCCGCTGATGAAGCGTGTTCGAAAATTCAGAACTTGGTACCTCAATCTTAATCTCAAGTGGTTAATATTAATAAATGTTTTTCGTACTGATTACATCAGGACTCTTTCTTTTGACTTCGTTTTATTCACAAATCTATCTACTCTATTTTATAAACTATATATATATATATATATATATATATATATATATATATATATATATATATATATAATTATTTATATAAATCTTGTCAAACTTCAGTCTTAAGTTACAATGAAAAATATCAGTATGATTGCATTTAAAGAAAAGGAAAATATATGTAATAATTATCTGTCTATATTTCTGAAATGTGGACTTATGTACACTATTTACATAATTTGGACTATTGTCCTGATCTTTGTTGCAATATTTATTACAACGTTTCGGCCGTTGTACGCTCCGGTCTTCTGCGGGTGGTTGGAATGTCGAACTGAACCCTTTATTTCGCTCACTGGTGTAGACTGTTCTACTTTCACGTTTCATGCTTTTAATGGATATCAGTTTTCAGTTATCCCCTGTTAATTCCCCTCTCCAAGTTCTTCAAGTGTTCAGTTCGACACTCCAACCACCTGAAGAAGGCCGGAGCGTACAACGGCCGAAACGTTGTAATAAACTTGGCGACAAAGATGAGAACAATAGTCCGAATAATGTAAGTCGTGTATATGTAATCATGCTATATAAAATATTAGTAGTAATTGTTAGAGTATTTTAAGCCTGACAACGTTAATTAAGATCTTTTTTCATGTAGCGTTCGTAATGACACTTGTAATCTGTGATTTCTTCAGATCGTAAAAGAATTACAGAAATAACTAAAATAAGAGAAAAGAATCGAGTCGAGTTTTTGAAGCCTAAACCGTATTTCCGAAACTCGGAGCCCGACTTATATGGCTGGTATGAAATGTAAACCTCTACCACCGAGTTGTAAACAAGTGGGGATAGTAATCCTAACAACTACTGTACACCTCTTACCATCATGCTGCCACAAATATATCCCATTAAAAACCTGTGTAAATACTGACCGAAACGGCGTTTACCTCGGGCGGCCATTCAGACAACTAAGTGTGGTAGGCGTGTCATCTGCGCAATTTCATGATGGTAATGATAGTAATATTTTATAAATGTTGATGTTGACTTTAATGTGTTTATCAGTAGACCTGACGAACATTAAATATTCGCTAAGTTATACTGATACAATATGCAGTACCTACCGGTGTGTGCTGCAGGTTGTTTGCTATGTAACAAATATAGAAATATATTATATTTAACGTCTAAATATACAGTTAAGCGGTGTGGACGTAAGTACGTTTGTCACAGGTCATCGTATACTGTAGTCTAACTTTATGTAGTGGCAGGTTTAATTTGGGATCACAGGTAGGAACATTCCGTATACAGTAAGTAAAGGCCTAACTCAAAATTTTGAGCTAAAAAGTGTAAGGTATTCTTAACAATTACTGTATACCACTTATTGTACCGTTTTTTTTCTACAACGCATAAAGAAAGATATCGTTAGTTTCTCAATATACAGGTAACTGGTGTTATTTTATGTAATTTTGGTATGGCTAATCGTAAACTGTAGCCTAACTTCCTTTGCCGGTATGATTAAGATTTGTGCTAGTGGTATTATGCCGTATGGTTGAGTGATCGACCTATACGGTAGATTTTAGAGGCCTAACTCAGAATTCTAAGCTAAAAATATGGAGGTCGCTTGTACATCAGGTCGACGTGTAAGTCAGGTCGACCCATACGTAAAGTTGACCTGTAGGCCGATTTGGTTTGGTTTGGTCTATTTTGTTTAGCGGCATATCAACCTCAATGGGTTATTTAATGCCGATACATTTTTAGGATAGATTCGTATGAATAGAGTATGTATTCTTTGGTTTAGATTGGTTTGATTTATTTTGTTTTACGGCATATCAACCTCAATGGGTTATTTAATGATGACAACATTTTTTATTGCTGGTAATATTTTGTTTCTGGTAATATATTCCCTTCAAAATTGTATTGCTGGTAATAATTTTTTAACAAAAAGTATTGCTGGGAACAGTTAAGTATTTGCCCATAGCTGGGACCCTAACAGGTTCTACCACCACGGGTCAGAGGTGGGTCCATGCTGCTCAAAACCTCTTGATCAGAGGCCTTGCTGCTGGATGTAGTTTATCGTCTTACCCAGGAGGCGGATGTAGCTTAACGTCTTGCCCTGGACTTATCTGTAGGCCGGAATTTACGGTATTTTAACGCGTGACAAAGTAGTAAGATTGCTGAATTCGTGCTTATTGTTATTTTGATGCCAACATTAGCTCGATCCCCTTTTACGGCACACACTCAGTCGTGGTTTAACGCCCGATTACTATGTTTTCCGTTACACGAAACAACTGAATGAAATTCTAAATATTAATATCATAATTGAAAAAGCAAAAAAAAAAAACAAAAAAAATAAGCAATCAAATAAATTATTAATATCCATGAAATTTATTTCTGAATGGATTGTCTTCCTAAAAAGGAAAACAATACATACACTATTTATATTTTTCGGACTATTGTCCTCATCTTTGTCACCATATTTATTACAACGTACGCTCCGGCCTTGAATACAATATGGGAACCAGTAATAAGGAGTGCCAGAGAAAAGAGATAATAACAACAAAAATTGCAATATGAGCTCTGGTAAAAACATTCAATGATAACCGCAAAAATTGCAATATGAGCACTGGTAAAAGGTTGCTGATGACATTATGTTTATAATACCCAGAAATTCATACACAGATGTCCTCAAGAACACATGGCACAGTGGATAAAGGAGTTGGGTAGATCCAGTCACAGAACCCGGTTAAAGCAGTGGAGAACTTGGAAAGGGGAATTAACAGGAGCTAACTGATAACTGACATGCAACAAAAAACATGCCACCGTGAGCGAAATTAAGGGTTCATTTCGACATTCCAACCGGAATGAAAGCCGGAGCGTACAACGGGAGAAACGTAATAAATGTGGCGACAAAATTAAGGACAGTAGTCCGAATAATGTAAATGGTGTATACAATACCTCATCTCAGAAATATAGAGAGACACTGAAAGGCCGAAACGTTGTAATAAATATGGCGACAAAGATGAGGACAATAGGCCGAATAATGTAAATAGTGTACATAATACCTCATCTCAGAAATATAGAGAGACACTGAAAGGCCGAAACGTTGTAATAAATATGGCGACAAAGATGAGGACAATAGGCCGAATAATGTAAATAAATAATGGCGATACTGAAAGATGAAACGTTGTAATAAATATGGGTACAAAGATGATAATGTCCGAATAATGTAAATTATGTACATAATACCTCATCTCAGAAATATAGACAGATACTGAAAGGGCGAAACGTTGTAATAAATATGGGTACAAAGATGAGGATAATAGTCCGAATAATGTAAATAGTGTTCATAATACCTCATCTCAGAAATATAGACAGATACTGAAAAGCCGAAACGTTGTAATAAATATGGCGACAAAGATGAGGACAATAGTCCGAATAATGTAAATAGTGTATATAATACCTCATCTCAGAAATATAGACAGATACTGAAAGGCCGAAATTTTGTAATAAATATGGCGACAAAGATGGGGACAATAGTCCGAATAATGTAAATAGTGTTCATAATACCTCATCTCAGAAATATAGACATATACCGAAAGGCCAAAACGTTCTAATAAATATGGCGACAAAGATGAGGACAATAGTCCGAATAATGTAAATAGTGTATATAATACCTCATCTCAAAAATATAGACAGATACTGAAAGGCCGAAACGTTGTAATAAATATGGCGACAAATATGAGGACAATAGTCCGAATAATATAAATAGTGTACATAATACCTCATCTCAGAAATATAGGAAATACTTCTCTCTAATATTCTATATCTCTTATCCTTCCCCTTGTAGTACTAAAGTGTTAAAAATAACACTTGCATATTTATCACATTTCATCCCCATAGATATTTCATACTTCTGAAGCAGACCGTGTGACTGTCAAACATAATTAAAAAAAGGCATGGCAGAATTATTTAAATGCACCGTAAATTTATTCTAATTGGATTTAAGAAAGGTATAAACAAAATAAAAAAATATATATTTTCGTATTTAATTGAACAATGATATTTCAATAAATGAAACTAATCTGTTGTTGAATTAATTTTTATAATTAAATAAAAAAAACATTACAAAATTATTTAGATAATAGAACACTCATAACTACGCTGGTTTCCTTTTAAAATCAGTTCATGATGATAAATGATGCTATAAGAATATTATCACTTTTATCATCAATTTCTACTTTCAGTAAATGTTATTGTAATAATTATTATTACATTATACAATATTACTTAGATAAAACAAAATAATAAATAATTAAACGTAATAATAAATTGAAAAGGTTTTAAAAATTTAAAAAAAAATATCGTCCCTGATACACAGAACAACAGAAAAAACGAACAAATTTTCAACATAAATATAATAGTTTTAACAATTCATACATTTTCTTAATGAAATTCAGCTGGAAATGCAGTGATAGACCTTAAATTATCAACCAAGATACTTTCAGAATGAACAATAAATTACTAATACCAGATGACATAGCTTTAATTTGAAACATCCTTTAACGAAAACATTGCCTTGCAGTCAGAAAAAAAAATTTAATGTTTGTTGAAAACAAATATTGAATTTTCTATTAAAAACGCCGCAAAAAGAAAAACGGCAATTGTTCAAGAATCCTTTGTCTCATTTTAAGAAAATTTGGCACTGCACTCGGCAGTCGTACAAGGAACTATATGCTTCTAAATTGGTTGAAGTATTATGCATCATTTAATATGTGTTGGCGTTCG